TTTCTTCCGAACATACACTCGGCCGGAGACTTTCCTTCTGGTACTGCCGGATTAGGGGTAACTCTGTAAGACATCAAGAACTTATTAATCACTTGTTCCGGGACACCCTCACCTCCCCCTTTGACCAGAGCTCTTTTAATTGTATCCACGAATCTTTCTGCCTGGCCATTCGACTGAGGATGGTATGGAGGAGATTGTAGATGCAATATGCCATTCTCGTTGCAGAAGCGTTTGAAGGCGGATGACATGAACTGAGTACCATTGTCGGTCACTAAGATCTCTGGAACCCCAAAACAGGCAAACAATCCTGACAATCTTCTTATGGTACTCTCTGAAGTCGTATTCGGCATGTCATAAACTTCCGGCCATTTTGTGAAAGCATCTACAACAACTAAGTAATTCCTGCCTTGTATCGGTCCGGCGAAATCAGCATGTATTCTTTGCCAAGGCCCGTCCGGTTTAGGCCATGGTTGTGGCTCAGCTCTCGTTGGGTTCTTTGCAGCCTCTTGACAAGACCAACAGCTGCGACATTTTTGCTCTATCTCATGGTCCATTGACGGCCAGTAAGCATAGCTACGAGCTAGTGACTTCATTTTACTTATCCCTGGATGCCCGCTGTGGAACTGTTTAATGGCTTGGTGTCGAAGATTTCTGGGGATAACGATACGATGGCCAAACATTATACATGAATCGACAACTGTTAATGACTCTCGTCGACGAAAGTATTGTAAGAGTTCTCCGTGTAATCTAGATGAAGGCCATTTATTGAGTATGCAATGGCGAACAATCTTTAATACATTATCCTTCTTGCTGGCCTCTTTAATGGCTTCAAATGTGACCGGGAGTCCGGAAACTGCGTCTGACAATATTTTGTGAACCTCGGCCTCGACATCTATAGCAGCTACAAGCACCTCTTCTTCTTGTTTTTCATGCAGACCAATCAATCTTGAGAGTGCATCTGCCTGTCCGAAATCCGTTGTTGGTTGATACTTTATCTTAAAATCATAACCCAGCAGTGTGGTAGCCCATCTCTGTAGCCGGTTTGCTGTATATACCGGGATGCCTTTTTTAGATCCAAAAACTGTCAGTAAAGGTTTATGGTCTGTAAGTAAGGTGAACTGCCTACCAAACAACATCTTGTGGAACTTTTTTACAGCAAATATAATCGCGAGGGCTTCCTTCTCTATTTGACTGTAGTTTCTTTCAGTCATAGTCAGTGATCTCGCAGCGTGAGCGATTGCTTTCTCAGAACCGTCAGGGTAGGCATGTGAAATTACTGCTCCAATTCCGTAGTTCGACGCATCGGCTGCGACTATAATTGGAAGATCGGGATCATAGTGTGTAAGGAGAAGGTTCGATGACAGAAGCTGCTTCAGTTTTAGGAATGCTTCTTGACATTCAGTTGACCAGAACCATTTAGTATCCTTTTTCAATAAGCAATTAAGAGGAGCACGATGGCGATGCAGATCTGGCAGAAAAACTCCATAATGACTAACCATTCCCAGGAAAGAACGTAAAGTTGACACATCCGTGGGTGGAGGCATGGACTTAATGGCTTCGACATTTTCAGGATCAGGTTTTCTCCCGTTTTTATCAATTATGAATCCCAAATACCGGACTTGCTCCATGTAAAAATCACATTTTTCGGCACGCAGCCTGAATCCATAATCTGCTATGCGTCTGAGAACCGTATCCACCTTATTCTCTAAATCAGCATAGTCTGTACCCATGATCAATATATCATCGAGATAAGCCGCGGTACCAGGAATGTCTTGTAACATAGTGTCCATAACTTGTTGGAAGATTGAAGGGGCGGTCTTTACTCCAAAAGGAAGTCGGTTATATCGGAACAATCCCTTGTGAGTGTTTATTGTCAAGTAATGCTTACACTCATCCGCTACCGGAATCTGTAGATAAGCGTCTGATAGGTCTAATTTCGCAAAATACTTACCCCCATTCAGTTTCGCAAATAAATCCTCTGGTACCGGCAATGGGTATTGATGGGCTTCAAGCGCTTCATTTAATCCAGTTGAATAATCTGCACATAACCGGATACTTCCATTAGGCTTTTTAACAATCACTATTGGAGCTGCCCAATCAGAGAAGTTTACTGGTTCGATTATTCCACTTCTTTGCAGACGCTCTAATTCTTGTTCAACAATAGGTAGCGCTGCATAAGGTACCGGACGTTTTGGTCTGAAGACGGGGGTGACTCCCGGTTTAAGAATCAATAGTGCTTTAACCTTTTTGCATTCCCCCAACTCTTCCATAAACACTTGACTGTGTCTTTCCAATACAACACTCTTCAGATCCTTTTCCACCGGTTTACTGGTTCTCACTGCGCTGCATATGTGGTTAATGGGGTGATTTGCTAATTGAAGTGCTTCTATCAAGTCTAGACCTAGCAAATCTAGTCCTGGATTCTGTGTAAGATATAAAGTTGCATTCGTTTTCGCATTTCCTTTCGAGACTGTACAACAAACCTCTCCAACAATATTTAGTTTTCCTCCAGATGCGCTGTGAGCTAACTGGGTCGTTGGGAGCACCTGTGGTTTACCGATAAGATTCCAAGTTCTCCGACTAATAAGTGTGATGTCAGAAGCGGTGTCGAGTTGCAGGCGGGCACGCTTTTTATTTATATCCAAGTTACATACTTTCTTTGGCGGCAAAATCGTGCTCGATTATGTGATACCAATATTTTGTTAGTTCGAGCACTAAATCTGTATTTCTTCGAGTAGGGTTTCAAAGAATGTCGTTTATGGGTTCTTTTTCTGCAGCAGTTTTCTTTATGTCCCTTGCGATGACACTTGCTACAACAATGTTCTTTATATGGGCAGAACCTTTTATAATGCCAACCACCGCAAGACCAACATGGAGATGAAGGCTGATTATCTGTGTGCGATACCTTTCTTGAGCGAGAATCGTTCTTTCCGCTTACAGCACGAACGTATGGCAACTGGCCATTATTTTCGACCATCGAAGTGTCATGCTTTAGGTTTACCAATCTCTGGCACTCTGCGGTTACTTCTTGTAGTGTCATATTCGGACATTGTTCAATTTTACTCAAAATTCTAGTTCTAATATCGGCATCTTCGGGAGATTGGAGGCTGCACACAAATACGAGACACTTAAACTGGTCTTCTGTCATTGCTGATAGTTTGAAGCGCTCACATTCACGGTTTACTAGACCCGCATGCTTCACCCAGTCATCATCACCTGCTTTTGTCATCTTGAGACATTGATAACGAATATTAAACAAGGATGACTGTTCAGCAAAGATTTGCGACAAAATTTCAATCGTTGCATCGAAAGAAAAATCTCTTGGATTCTTTGGAAGGATAAAGTTACTGTAACGTTCATGTTCAACAGTTCCAAGTTTTCGCAAGAGTATTCTGACCTTAGCGGCGTCATCAAGTTTTTTGAGGTCGACCTTGAACAAATCTTCATATTTCTTGAACCAAGTTTCAAAAGTAATGCCAGCTGAACCATCAAAATTAAATTCATGGATAGAATTAACAATCTGGTCAACATGAGATTTGAAGGGATCATCTGTAACTTCTTTTTGATCCAGGTTCATTTTCTGAGTTAGCATCTCTAGCATGCGCATCTGGAACTTTTCTTGACGTTCCAATAAGGCTTCAAATTGTTCCAAGGTAAATGACATATTGATACAATAACCCGTCGCCAGATGTTATATCTTGAAAAAGCTGATTTTCTTGATACAACCGCGTATAACTGAGCACTGGAACACCAAACCCTTCCAAGTCGCAATAAGAAGACAGAAGACTAACGAAAGGAATATTATTCCAAACAGTGTCAAACATAGTACAAAATTATCAGGTATTTATAGTTTTTAGTGGGAACGAAATCATCATTACAATCTTCCAATCCGCGTACAGGGGTTATTAGCATTATCCAATGGGGAAGCTACACGTTGGAATTCTAGAACATTCTTCCGACAGGTGATTGGATGGAACGTCTTCGGCTCCTTATGAGCCTCTTACAGCTTCCTCGAGTTCACCGGTGGTCCGTCGTCACACAAAGTCAAAACATCTTATTATGTACAGCGTAATGATGAACGAATCATATCATAATACACTTTGATACCAGTGTTGACGCCAATTATTAACAACATATGGATGTATAATTCAATGTCTACTGACACTTATTACATTCCAGATACTCATTGTTTACTGATTACGTTGACTGAATGAGAGGATTTGATCAACATTTGGAACTAAAACAAATTATATTGGTTACTACTTATTAACGGTTTGACACAATTACTCTAATTCTACAGGAAGTTAGCAGCAGCTATAATATCTCGAGGGGAATGTCTCTAGTTGTAGTGCCAGGTAACGTGGGTTCGGATTTTTCATACGGTAACAGTCTTTCAAAGGTTCAAAGTAAACTCACTTGGTGAGTGCCAGTAAATATGGAACTTAATTTTGAAGCTTCAATCTGATTACACGTTTAATATCTATAACAAGGCGCATAGCCTACTTTAAAACACAATATTAACTTAAAAATGATAACAATGAGCCTAGGTTTTGTGAGACTTTGTATATCAACAGCTTGTACTATCGGTCTTGTATAGTAAAAAAAAAGACAAATAACGAGATGGATTTGTTGTGGTGACTAAGTAAAGTTAGGAACTTTACATACAAGGAAATAAGTTTATCTAACCCAACAATACGTGAAGTATAGAAGTTACCCAAAGGTACCATTTCCTTAATACGTAAGCGTAAATTAACTTATACATATGAAGAAACCTACGGTATTAACTGGGAAATCAGACGATAAATTACAAAGTGAGTAGTGATTTAGACAACTAGTCAATATCCACCGCCAAGAATGAATAAGATAAAATTACATGTCAAAATGTAATATGAGAAGTATAATGTATAAAAGTGATACAACTAATGAACTCATAAGAGATTCTAGTCATACGGTAAAAAGGCATCAGAGATTACAAATACAATAAACGTTAGAAAACTCACTTGGATCTACAGATCCTGTTGATGACCAATTAGGCATCGGCGGACAACCAGGGGAGTTACCAAGACCAATCGCAGCAGCTGTTGCCATTCCGGATATAGAAGCTCCATTTTGATGTGTAGGGAGTGCTTCGTTAATATAACCAGCAGCCAAATGGTTGGGCGGCCTAGGACCTGGAATAACGGAGGAAGTAGGTCCTGTCCAGTGACTGTTCAGAGAACGTGATACGGCATTACCGTGATTCCAGCCGCCGGGAACAATCGATGGAGCTCCCAAGGCCAAACTTGAACTTAAAGAAGGTGGAGCTAGTTGGCAAAGACCAGCAGCAGCTGAATGATTCCAAGAGTCAATGGAATTGACCAATGGATCAAGAGAATTATGCCCAGAACCAGGTACAGTCCCCAGCGGAGCTAAACAGATCGAATCCCAACCGGGCTGAGACTTGTGTACAGATTGTTGATTGTATAGTGAGTCATCATTTAATGTATGAACTATAAAGTGCAAAGAATGATACAAAGATCAGCAAGGCACAAGCTGTAGTTAGAGCAGTAGTATAAATGTTTAGATACAACTTTCAATGATCTGATCATCAGATTATTTCATTATGACAACCAGATGGTGTATCTAGCCCTCATGTTAATTATGGCCTAAAAAGTACCAAAAGAACCTGTGCTTGTTTATTTACTCGAACAAACCATTTCGAGTACAAAACGCCAAGCAAAAAACATTAAAAAATGTGGTACATGGAATGGGAATACTAGTTGCCAAGTATTAAGATGTAATCTAACTATCATGATGGGTGATTTCGGTCCAGTATATCATACAGCCCATAACAAATGTATTAGTATGAGTTTGAAATACGTTACAGTGCATATTTAGAACAGCAATTCTTTACATAATTACGTTTCCGGCAGCCGAGTGCAATATGACCAACTTAAATTTTTAGTGGCAGAGATATCAGTATGCACACCGGTGATGTCTTATAAATTGATTAACATTGACTAACAAAGCGATCTATGCGAAGTTGTAATGGACCACCAGTATTACCTAATCTTAAGATAAAAAGTCCACGCCGCACTAACTCCCCAAGAGGCTTTTCTCTACATCAGTAAACTCCTCCCGTCGAGGTAAAGTAGTTAGACATACGTAACACATATTCTAAAAACAAGTCGATGGATATTCTCAATCAAAGATATGTTTATGTAAAATGGACGTACTTATGATAAATATAGTTACTTTAGGAGGTTATATGAGTAAACCAAGTGTTTATTTATTTATTTGAACATATAAATATTGTTACAAAGAGGCACCGAATACATATGCGCCATACAAGTCACTTGATTTGTGTGTGGGCTGTGATACTGCCCGGATTCCCAGACCGAAGCAGGTGGTTTCCTTAGGGGGCCATACCTGGAGCTTTCGACCTAAAGGTCTGATCCACAAGGCAGTGGAGCAACGTAAGGAGATGAAGTCCCATAGTAGCCGATGGTCAATAATTGGTTCATAAACCGTTTCCCCTTTAAGATACTGGAGCCCATGTGCACCGTTGGTTTAAAATCAGGATTTTCCAGCTCCCCTAGGTGGACCCTCTATATCGACCGACCCGGTTAAAGCTCCGGACATTCGCTTTTCGTCCTCTCAATTTTGTAAACAACAGAAATGCCACTAGAAGGCAGTGAGTAGGACTTCCCTGGCAGAGGCTATATACGCATGGCCATGTGAGAGCATTTCAAGGGAGGAGAGCTGACTCTCTCCACCCCCGGCTGTACCAGGATATTTGGGTACTATTATATCAGCATAATTTTTGTGAAGGCGATAGTACCGTCCAAGCTTTAGAATCAAAACTAGTTGATTCTAGTGCTTACCTATGATGTTTTTAAACAATGATGTTTTCTTTCAACACTTCCACACCTAATTCGAATTACAAAAGATACAATACCTTTGAATAAGTTCAGAGATTTTCCTTTACCTTGAACACTGATTCATTCGTGACTACTAGAGTACGAATTAGAGAGTTGTGAGAATTAATAATTAGTATTTCAACTCAACTACTCCTATTTATTACATTATCTCCCGGTTTCAGGCCAAGTTGTTTGGTTTAAAAAGCAATCGAACAGTGTCAGAAGACATTCCGTGATGGTTGGTAAAATGAATGGGTTCATTTACTAAACTCTCGAAACCATGGTAAATAATGATAGAGAATGAGCTTAGGCTACCCTATGTGGACTGTTCATACACTGGTCCTGTTTAAACATTGAAATTCCTTATTCCTTCGCTTTGCTTTGAAGTAGCCACGCCAAGTGAAGGCATTTCAGATGACATATGTAGCAGAGGCTATAAACGCGCAGCTACGATGAAATGAACAAACAACTAATAGATAGATATTATCAATCAAATAATATAGGACTAAACAGCCTTATAACAACCGAGGATTAATTTTACGTGAAAACAGATAACATATAGGTAATCGAGACTATTGAACACTCAAGACAATACAATTTTTTGTATCAATATTGTTGCTGTGATGCATAGTGATCAGGACTTTAGACATTAACCGAAAAAATCTAGTAGCTTACTGCGACTTGCCGTCGTAGGTGCAGCGATTTGGTGACCCCAAGCTGCAGGCATCCAACCATTTGTAGAATTGATAGAATGATTAGGCCAGTTTCCCAGTGGTGTACCAATATTTTGTAGAGGAGGGCCAGGACCAACTCCAGTTTGGCCATTATGTGGAGGATTGGGATTTGCATTAGCCCATCCTAAAGAAGGCCAAGTTTGAGGTTGCCCATGAGAACCCCAGTTTCCAGGCCAGTGACTCCAGGTTGCACCTATAATATATATAACACGTTAATACATCTCACAGTAAGCGTAACTCATAAAAACCAAGATCTGTAGTGAAAGGTTTGTTTTGTGTCCAAAGAAAATATTGATCCTTTTAAACCCGAAGAATGATAACTTTCGTGACTTTCCAGCTGGTATCATAAAGTAGATTAGATTTCCATAAATCATTAAATAAGCTTACTATAATAACTGGTGACAATAAGTGACTGATACTGAAAATATATATAATTAATTGGTTCTAAAACTTGATATGTAACCGTATTGATTTTTTATTTACTTAATAACCATAAACTGAGGTACAATTGTGCACCACAAAATTGTGAGTCACACAAATAATCGGATCCCGACCTTTGTTGCTACCTTGACGTGGTGGTCGGGCTGGCCAATCGTGATGAAGAAACCGAGCTATACTGGCTGGAACAACCGTTCTTCAAGGTCCTACCATGTCAGACAGGTCGGTTGAAGAGCGGTAAGACTAAAAGCAACAAACCCAAGGTCCGAAGGCGAAGTCATACAGCTGACTGTACAGAGGTGTGACAGCAGTAAGATGTTTCCTTCAGACAGCCAGCATGACAGCGATGCTGCCTTCCCACAAGGAGGGGTGGGGTTAGAAAAGGTCGACCCTAAAAATGCACACCTCACCTTACCTCACGTATTTCCGTCTCCGGCGGTAAGGCCCTTTGAAGAACGGAGCTAACGCGTCAGAAACCTCCCACGAAAAGGCCGTGCGCGACCGGCCTCAAGCAGTTGTCCCTTGGACACTGCGGTCACGCTCTCAGGTCACTAAGATCACATGTAACCCAATTTCCTTCTCAAGTAACTGCAGAAGAACCCTTCCACGGTGTGGGCAACTGAGAAGTGATAACCGCCCTCATACTTCAAACAGCACTCAAGACCACTATATTCATAATCAACCTCCCTCTTCTATTCCTATTATTCCTCCTACATCGACTTTCAACTCTAAACTTCCTCTTTCGGCTTCCTCCTCAAGTGTCACCATAGCCAACGATTCTAGTGCTCAAAACTCTGTCCCAGGTCTACTGAAACCTCGCTCCAAACTACACATTGGAGCCTTCAACGTACGCACCCTATGTCAAATCGGTCAGCAGGCTTCCTTGGCTAAAACCCTAGAGTCTCTTTCCATTGATGTATGCTGTGTCTCCGAAACACGCATACAGGATTCCAGTGTGGTCATTCACTTGACCTCACCTCGGCAAAAAGGAGAGCCAACGAGATACACCCTCCGTGTATCTGGTGACCCGATGGCCAGTTCTCGTGGACTGGCAGGTGTAGGCATAGCACTAAGCATGAGGGCGAAACAAGCACTGCTAGAGTGGATCCCCGTCAACAGTCGTCTATGTGCTGTTCGGCTAAACGGCTCCGGAAGTTTTTTTTTTGATAGGGACACACGTCGTTGCCTTTTCGTCGTTTCTGCCTACGCTCCCACTGACTGCAGCTCAGATGAAGTGAAAGATGAATTTTACAGAAAGCTTTCTGAACTTCTTCAGAAAGCTAAACGCTCAGACATAGTACTCGTAGGGGTGACTTTAATGCTCAGATAGGTAGCTTAAACCAAACAGAAAGGCATTTAGGTGGATATTTTAGCATTCCGGCACAGCGAACAGATAATGGTGATCGTCTGCTGCAACTGTGCTCAGACAATCGTTTATTTTTAGCAAACACAAATTTTAAGCATAAGGAGAGACATCGTCTAACATGGCGACCCCCTACACCAAACCAACGATGGACTCAAATAGACCATATTGCCATCAGTCATCGTTGGAGAGGGTCGGTAGAAGATTGTCGCTCATTCTGGAGTACCTGCTTGGACTCCGACCATGCCCTAATACGGGCACGCATCTGCTTGCGCCTCACTGGACGCAAAAAAGCCACATTAAAAAGACCCATTAGAACTGAGTTGAGTAACGAGAAAACCAAAAGTAGGTTCCAGGAACAACTGAGTTCACACTTAGGTAGTTTTGAAGACGAGGCTGACCCAGATGTTGCTTGGAAAGACATACAAGCAGCTGTGGAAACAGCAGTGACATCTATTAGCGACTTAAACCACAGAGTTACAAAGAACCAGTGGATTTCTTCAAAGTCTATCACACTGATGGATTCTCGCAAACTCGTCCCATCAGGTTCCGAACATGATGAAGAGCGACAACAAATCAGATCTAGGTTAAGAAAAAGTCTAAGAAACGACCGTGAGCAGTGGTGGGCAACGAAAGCAAAAGAGATGGAAAAGGCGGCGACTATAGGGAACACAAGACAGCTTTACAGACTAATAAAAGAAACTGGAATTAATAAGTCAAGTGTAAGTGAGATTATATCGGAAAAAGACGATACTCTCATCTGCTCCCAGTCCAGACGTTTAGAACGATGGGCGGAACATTTCAGAGAACAGTTCAGCTGGCCTTCAGCTACTCTACAACTACCCTCCATTCCCAGACAGCATGAATGGAACATTGAAGTAGGTCCCCCAACTCTTGCTGAAGTTCAAAAGGCTATAGTTAATCTGAAACGAGGAAGGGCAGCTGGTCCAGATGGATTGGCTCCAGAGGTCTTTAAGGATGGTGGTCCAATTTTAGCGATTAGGTTGACTAATATTTTAGCTAAGATCTGGGAGTTAGACGTTATCCCATCTGACTGGTCACAATCACTTATCGTCCCAATATATAAGAAAGGGTCAAAATCATCCTGTGACAACCACAGAGGGATTAGTTTAACTAATATAATATCTAAAATACTAGCCTCGATAATTATCAGACGCCTAACTAAGACTCGTGAACTGCAAACACGAGAGAACCAAGCTGGCTTCAGACCTGGTCGTGGCTGCATCGACCACATATTCACCATTCGTCAGATTCTAGAACACAGGCATACTTATCGGCGTCCGACAATGGTGGTCTTTCTTGACTTAAAAGCAGCATTTGACTCTGTAGACCGCGAGACTTTGTGGCAGTGTCTGTCATTGAAAGGCGTACCTCAGAAGTACATAAACCTTGTAAAGGCTCTTTACTCGAACACTACTAGTCGAGTCAGAGCTTATGGCGAACTGTCATCTACTTTTGCAGCCTCAAGTGGTGTCCGTCAAGGATGTCCACTTTCTCCATTTTTGTTTAACTTCATCATAGATCTACTGATGGAAATAACTTTCTCGTCGACTGAGTTCTCGGGTATTGATCTCCATCCAGGAGGTCCACTTATCGACTTAGAATACGCAGATGACATAGTCCTGTTTGGTGAAGACGCTGACAAAATGCAGAGTCTTCTGGTAGCACTAAGCAACAATGCCAGAATGTTTGGAATGCGCTTCTCTCCCTCTAAATGCAAGTTGTTGCTTCAGGACTGGTCTGCGTCAACACCTGAACTAAGGATAGGGAGTGAAGTAGTCGAACGCGTTGACAACTTCACTTATCTTGGAAGTCTGATCAGCCCTAATGGGTTAGTGTCTGACGAAATCTCAGCACGGATTCGAAAAGTTCGTTTGGCTTTTGCCAACTTACGTCACCTATGGCGAAGGCGAGGTATCCGTCTATCAATAAAAGGACGAGTATATTGCGCGGCAGTCCGTTCTGTTTTAATTTACGACAGCGAAACATGGCCATTAAGAGTAGAAGACACTCGTAAGCTACTAGTATTTGACCACAGATGCCTTAGAAATATTGCTGGCGTCTGCTGGGATCACCGGGTAAGTAATAGTGAGGTTAGACGCAGGGTATTAGGAAATGATGGTAAATCAGTTGATGAGGTTATGAATCTTCATCGACTGAGATGGTTGAGCTACGTGTTACGTATGCCTGAATACCGATTACCACAATGGCGTCGGTGTATACACTCCCTATCTTCCCTTAAACAAAGAGATCAAAATCGCTTCATATCTTTCTGTCTACGAACCAATTTTTTCTTCTTGTACTATATCTCTATATGCAATCTTTCTCTTATATATTACCACCTTTGATCTAACCACTGCTATGAATCTGGTGTTCATCTTGTTGTGCTGATGCGGTATGGCAACCTGGACCGATGCACATATGTGCCCGGTCCTACGTTGTAGCTGACAAATAATCGGATAATATTGTGAATAAATAACAGAAGAAACAAGAGTACAATCCGAAAATTAAATAAGTGGATAAGAATAGGAAATATAGTTTAGTTAGAAACTCAACTAGGAAAGTTCTCAGTCAAGGGTGTCCATCTCACCTTTATATTCGATACTGGCTTTATTCGCAGTCATGTCTGATGGTTTCTCGAGTCCCTGGGTTACACAACTCCGAGGACCACAACCAGCCCTATGTAGCTTCCTTTCATTCCATGGAGCGACTTCATATACTGACCATCTTTCAGCCTTTTTCTATCAGCCCAAGCATCAACAAATAATTATCGACCTGGAAGTCGCTAAAACGACATTCGTAAAACATGCCTAAACCACCGAAGCCAATGGTTTAGAATGGTGACATAAACTGACTTATTGTCACCGAGTAAAAATGAAGGTGTGAATCTGTTGCCTGAAGAAAGACTTCTCGACCTTGAGTATGCGGATGATACTGTCTTACTGTGCGATAATGCCCAAGGCATGCAATCCGCACTTAATCAGTTGGCAATCAATGTACGTAGGTATGGTATGTGCTTTGCACCTCCGAAGTGCAAAGTACTTCTACAAGATTGGCAGGATTCTAATCCTGTACTCAGCCTGGATGGTGAGCAGATAGAAATAGTCGAGAAGTTCGTGTATTTGGGTAGCTGCATAAGTGCTGGTGGGGGGGTGAGTGATGAGATTAATGCACGTATAGTGAAAGCCAGAGTGGCTTATGACAATCTGGGTCATCTTTGGCTCCTTCGTGATGTCAATCTGGCTGTAAAACGTCGAATCTACAACGCGTCGGTGAGAGCAGTTTTGCTCTATGCTTGTGAAACCTGGCCTCTCCGAGTTGAGGATGTTAGACGACTCTTTGTTTGATCATCGTTGTCTCCGAAGGATTAC